TGAAACTATAGTACCAGCTCTGAGAAATAAAGATGGTTATGTATATGTTCAGACACTATAGCAACGAGCACCTCAAACTAGATAGAACAGCTCTACTACCAAGTTAGCACAAATAAAATAAAACATCTGTCTATTTTGAGTGTTTTGCCACTGAATTGAGTCATGTCCCTAATATATTCATTCACACAGCAGTACAAGAATGGAAATTATTTTATTTCCTTTTTACTTGATGTGAAGCATGCAAAAGCTAAGTAGCCTGCCCAAGGTCACAGAGAAAGTCTCTCACTCTCCCCGCCCTGTATCTCACAATACCTGAAATGGAACTGGGCTGGAGACAGCAGCATCCCTTCAATTCCTCCTACTCTCTGTCACTGGGACAATCAGTTCTCTGGAGGGATTGAAACTCAGATCAAAACTTGGCTCAGTGCAAGGACATGTGGGTGCTCTCTGGCAGTAATCTCTGAGTCAGATACATGAGCTAATCATGTCTTCTGCCCTTGCACTCTTTGAACTATGAGCTCAAGACACAGTCAGCACAGTATCACATCCTGACTGCCCAGTCCTGAACTTTGATTGCTAACAACTTAAAACAATAGATTAAAATACATATGTACAGAAAAACAATGCTTTCACTACTATATGCAAGGCTTAAATAAGATATTTGCCTCTGCCTCCCTGAACAAATAATCTAGGTTGCACTTTCTTTTACATTTATGAACAATCTTCTGAGATGACTGACAAAAGAGGTAACTGACATATAATGTGAATCTTTATGCTGTTATCCATTCCAAGACATGCAGCTGAATAAAATTCTGCTCAGTCAGACATAAAATCAAATTAGAAGAGTTAGCTCTGAAGAGAAAGAACTAAATTTGAAACAAATAAAGCAGTGCATAATTCACTTTTAATGGGATAAGTTCCTAAAACCACACTAATCATAATCCTAACAAGGTAATACTTTCCACTGCGAGTTTACCACATCACTGCTCAGTACACAGCAGCACAGAGCTTCAATCACATGAGAGATTTGCCCCACATGCAAAGTGAGCATCTGTATTTTGCAGTCAGGATTTGCAGAGCACTCCTGTTTATTAATAATTATTCCTTATGGCCTTACAACACACGTCATTCATCTAACACGTGTTCACAAAGACCTTCACCCATCAGTGAGATCTCCTGGATAACACACAATGTATTTCTCCACAAAACCCTGCAATATTACTCAACAGTACAGGACAGAAACAAAAAAATGCTCTATCTTGACTGCACAAATTCACAAGGAGGGTAATGACTCGGACAAGAAAACTGGCTGTCCCTGAAGTAACATTTCCTATATTTGGAAAAAATGCCATTGGGTTTTTATTGACCATAAGTATTCAAGACCTTGGGTTTGGACCTGATTTTTAAGACAGCATTTTTCATCAGCACAGCAGCTCGCAACTGTGAAAATGCCTGAATTAAAAGAGAAAGTATGACCACCTGCTTTGCAGCTACTCTTCAAAGTAGCATCTCAGGATGACAATATGAGAGGTGATGCCTTATAACCCAAGATGCTGTGGCAACAGGGCATAGATAAATCAGAAACAAGAAAAGACTTTAGTGATTTCTCTAACATAGCAAATCTTTTTACACCTCTATTAAATATTCAATTCTGAAAAGCTGTTCTAGCAAAACCCAACATTCAGCATGCTCCATAATCACTACCTCTCAGCATATGTCTGATCCAAAAAACATGCCCTGATGACCGGTTAAGAAAGATTTTTACATGAGATTTTAGAGTCAAGCTGGGTTTTTCCCATATTGTCAGCAATCTAAATTTTCTGACTGAAATATAGCAAATCATTCTTTTAATCACATAACATGGACTGTAGCTTGCTTCTACATCTACCTCAGTTTTAAAGAAATGACAGGTTAGAAACAATGAAACAGCTAATAAAAAGGATATGATCAAATGCACATCAGGAGCAGGTAAAGTAAGCAGATGCTTTCCTACACGAATCTATATAATGTGATCCTTACTTAGCAAAAATTTCCATTTATATATCCAGCTGAAACCTTGTTCCCTGCACTTTTATTTATTTACCAAAAAGTAAAAAAAAAAAAGACGACAGAGCTACAGTGCATACAATACAAATGGAATTATTTTCCCCTTATAAAAACATTACGGCTCTGCGTGAGTATGCGGCAGGGTGAATACCCTACAAATCAAACTGCAGGTTACTGACACTGGGCTCAACCATTTCCTCACATGGGTTATTTCTAAACTCCAAAGGTGTTTTCAATATTCAATTCTCATCACACAAGGTTTTTTGTATTCTATTTTATTAATACACTTCGATGTGAGGGATTTTATGCTACATAATATGCACATCAGACACAGATACAAGCTTCACCTTAAAGAAATATCCTATTTGCTAGCATGATGGCCACACACACATGAATAAAGATTATGTATGGCAAGCAAGAGATTAGGAACATTTTAAATCTGATACACCCAATGGCTATGTCCCTCTTACAGGGCAAGATGTGAATGAAGATGACTGGGGGTGAGGAAGTGTGACTTATGCAAGCAAACATAACACAGGGGTGGGTAGTTCTCTGACCTAATGAGTTTGTATCCCTCAGTCTGCAGGCTCCAACTCTGAATATGGGGGATGTTCTGCCAAGCAGGCACAGGCCAGTCATCAGCAATTCCTCCACTCCTGCAAATGAGCAGTGACTGAACTGAGCTGACTTGCAGAAGAGACCCATAATAAAAAGATGCTGAATGCCGTTAAGCATGAAGGGTTTACCCATCCTTTACCATGCTTTTAAAAAAAAAAAAAAAAAGAAAAAAATAAGAGAGAAGAACTCTCTCAACATACAAATTATATTTAGGAAAAAAAATTAAAATTCCTGAAACTGGAGCTAAATTACTGCTATTTCCCATAATTCTAAAATTCAGTCAGGATCAAATCCTACACTACCTTTCAAATACTTCACTTCAAATACACTTAGAATCTTTCAAACTGCCCAGAAAGTGGTCTAGTGAAGCCGCCCTCCTGGTGCGTGAAACTCAGCTCTCTCCAGAAAGCTAATGTTACTGTTCTGTTTATTTCCTTCTGCTGGAAGTGTTCCTTAGGTTAGTGTTCCTTCATCACAGCATTTTGGAATTTGGTAACAAGTTTACTAAGTTATTAGCGAGGGGTTTGTTTTGGTGAGTATTACAGTATCATTTTACAAAAGAGATATTATCATCATACCAAGGACAACCAGTCCAAAGAATAATAAAATGCCTTGTACCAGGTCATCCAGACACTCAGCTCTGCTAGCACACTTAATTTGTAATCAGTGAACTAATTGTGCCAGTGAGCCATCCAGTAGAACACAGAGCCCTTCAAGGGAATGAGCTGGGGATTTTCCTCCATCTCTGGTTACCTCCTCATACCCACACCCTGCTATGAAAGAGTCCTATTTCAGTCACTGTGGAGGACCCAAAACACTGTGGAAAAACAGAAAAGAACTCAGAAACATTGATGTTAAATCCCTGAACAGAATGTGGAGCATAGTATTTTTGGCCTTTACTATTATTTCTCCAAGGGAAACCTTAATTTCAGCATTGTTACACAGGAAATTGGTGCCTGAATTAAGAACACAATGAAACTCATTAGCAATTCTAGCTATAATAATTAGATTTTATATAGCCAATCCCTGTCTTAAATCTAGAAAAAATAATAAAAACATAATAGAGTTGCCATAGAAGGACCATTGCAAAGACAGAAAGATTATACCAATGGCTAGTAGAGTAATGTAAGCTCAAATACCTACTATTTCAAAGATTTTCTTGGGTAGGCAACTTACTACCTCTCTATCTCAGTTCTTTGACTGAAAATAAAGATAATAGCAAAATGGGAGCATACTAAGGATAAGGACAGATATGCAATAGAGACTATGTAAAATCTAACAGAATTTGTTTTGTGCATGGGTAAAGCACAGTAAATCTGAAGCTATTTTTGCTACATTTTAAGGTAACTATTTCACTGACAGCATGTCAGTGCAGTGCAACAAAGATCACATTTTTCCAAGCAGAGCAATAATACACCATACATTACATTCAAATGAAATTTCAGATCAACGTTTTCCTATGAAACAATAAATAGAGGCAAACCCTGTTTTGATAAATCTGCTGAGCTTCTTCTCAGGACAGAGGGAGATTCAGGTCACATTTTACTCTCCAGTGAGTGATACCCAACACAGGCATAAAGACTGTTAGGGTATTTAAGATGTTAAAATCACATCTAGAGCTGGTAATCTGTAGCTATCCCTACAGTCACTAGAGAGACCCGAATAACACCTCTGGTTAAAGCCAGGACTCTTTGGAGTCCTCCTCTGTTATATTTGGTAGCAACATTTGCACTACAGGAATACAGTCTTTACTGCATTCTACAGCATAAATCTCACTGCTATCACTGGGGTTAAAGGACATCTAATGCAGTTAAAAAAAGATAAGCTACTACAAAAATTGGTTTTGGGCAAAGTTCAGCACAAAAACCTTGAAATCAAACATGCCTCAGACAGAAACATACCTAAATCACACAAACTCTTTAGGATTCTTCCTCCCAAAAGCCAAGCTAAGCACAAATGGAATCCATCAGGAATTTTCTTTCATATTCTGGTCATAACATACTTGTTTAAAATTACAAAAAAAAACACCTTTCAAAAAAATCTAAGACTGACTTGAAGACTAATCTATGACATGAATAAACTAAAGCAAACCTTTAATTGTATTTTGCAGAGCTGACCAGGTAGCCATAACCAGAATATAAAAATCAACTAATCTGATTCTGTTTGTTCTCTTTCAGTGAGTAAGTGCTGCCATCTAAAGCTATCTAAAGGGCATGCAAAAGAAATCCAAAGTCATGCATCAAAATAACATTCAGGAAGCACATGTCAGTAGACAGAGAATGCAGAGTAAATCAAATACATTAATGAGATGCAACAAAATAATGATGTTGCAGTACCTGAAGGAGAAATTCTTTCTCTATCACTTCACCTGTCTTGCTGATAAGTCGCTTCTGTAGTCTCTGTACTTTCAGAATCAGCTCAAAGGTAGTGGGGTCGCTGGCCTAGGAAAGAGCAAAGGAGTCTCAAAAATTATACATGATAACAAGTTACTGGTTCTGTTTTGCAAATGAAAACCATAATATCTCAGTGTTCAAAAGTATAAAAGGGGCCCTAAGGGAGGACACATTTTTTAAAAGATTGCATGAATACAAGCAGTCCTGGAACTTCATATGTCAATTTTAGCAGCAACTTCAACTATCCTCTGACAAATTAAGAGCAGTGCAAGTACTTCCTACTGTTCAAGAACTTCAAACAGTGCCAACTTAGTTTCTAAGGAGAAGATTTTTCTACTGAACAAAAGAAAGATAACTGCATTTTAGACTTGAAACAGGTGGAAAATTTAAGAGGAATAAATTAGGGGGTACACCGATGAATTATAATGGGGTTCTAAAGTGCCCATACATGTGAAATCCCACTCTTCAATGGAATTAAATGCTTAAAATGGTGACAGTGTTTGCCCTGTACTGTTGCCCTCTACCTACATAGCCCGTAAGACCAGGAGCTAGTAGATGTCTGTCTCTCCATCCCTTCCTTTTCATTCTTTCAGCACAGACTGAATCTGGAGAAAGCTCTAAGGAGCAAAGAAATAATTCTGTGAGGAGAAGCCAGCAAAGCTTACTTTCCCAGTACTTTGTGTCTTCTTGTTGGATCTTTCAATGAAGGACAAACTCTGACTGAAACTTTTCCTCACTCAGGGACTCATAACACCTCTCTCCCATCTGGTTTTTCTTCTCTCATGTGGTGTCTCACAAGGATTAAACTCACACTGCAGTAAAGGCTCCAATAAGTCCTGCTCTCTTATATTTTCTTGAGCTTATAAGGAAGTCAGTATCTCATTGCTCTTAATCTTTTGTCTGATTTTATCTAAATTGACTAATCAATTCAAGCGTAACTAGGACACTAACACAGATACACATGCAGTGCTCACAACACAGCACTATTTCCTGAGAAACCAGGCTAAAAAGTAGACCAGTCCCCATGATCCACTCAGTCCTTGAATTTTTTATATCTCTGCTCAAGCATGGGGCCAATTTGAGACAACCATAGTGATATGAGAGTGTTTGTTCATTAGGAATTGAACCAAAACCCCATCAGGATTATTTCGCATGGATCTTGCCACCTGCTGGCCTTTCTGTGCTCCAAATATAAACCAGTTACCTAGAATGGAAAGACATGATTTCCCATTATCAGCCTCTTCATACATTCATTTCCCTATCCCTGGATGTTTTGACTGGCCCGATCTTTCTTTGGTGAAAGATCTTTTCTTTAAAAGGTGATGCTAGAGTTTGTACCTAAATGTGTTTAACCTAGTTCAGCATCCTGCATTATATCTCCCTTCCATGAGAAAAGGTAATCACATCATCCAACTTTAAGCTCAGCATGGAAATATCAGAAATTCACTATCATGCTAGTAAGCACAGTTAAAATATTCAGCTCTGCTTCTGCAGGGACAGAGCACGTTATCACTCAATATTAGAGAAGTTAAGAAACCCAGGCTGGCATCAGATCAGAGATCCATGCAACAGAGGAAACTCAGATGGCACTGACTTACATCAAAAATATCCAGTGATGCCAACTGATGTTCATATATTTGGTCTATGCTTGATGGATTTTTTATTTTTCCCCTTCACTTGGCAGGTTCAAATCATGTGAAAACTTAGATTTGCTGTTCATGTAAAGCAGTTGAACTCACATTACCTGGAAGGACTATCTTTGGGAGTCCACCACTGTTTATATGGAGGCCTCTTTCTGTTTTTTCTCAGATGTAATTTACCTTCTGACTTAACATTTGTCCATTCTCCAGTCTATCTATTCTATGAGCTTTTCAATTTCCGGCTTTCTTCACATATACATTCCCATATACCTCTCCCTTCTTGGTGAGGGTAGGATTGTATCTTTCCCCTATCATCTTATTTCTCACCATCCATGTTAAGGAATCATCCCCTTCTAAATTCACCTAATGCATTCTTATTCCCTTTAGCACTTCACCGTCTCTTTACAAATCCCCCTGCAATTTTTCATTGAGGAAGTGACACAAAAATAGCACTGATTGCATTGTGCAAGGAAAGCATTCAGCAGGTAAGGACTCCATTTGTACTATGGAAATTTCAGTCTGCCCAGTCCCTCCACATCATTTGCATAACAGTAAATGAAATAGGCTTTTGCTGGGTCACTGATTTGATAACAGGGACTTTGGAAACACAAAATCCTCATGCATCACCTCTAATTTTCTCCATCTGTGAACTTGCAAGGGCTTCTGCAGTTCTTCTTCCAAAATTTTGCATCGAGTCTGTTCCCTTAACAGTTCCTTTTGCATGTGATTAAACTCACATCTGAAGAGCAGCATAAAGTAAAAATAAAAGAAAAAACACACCAAAAATACTTCAATGTGACAAAGGCACTAATGTGGACATTAACAAATTATTCTCCCATGCACTATTGTGCACAGGAAGCACTACATGGAAAGCACAAAGAGTCGCTTTGCCGCTACATCGACACTGTGGTGGAAAACCTATCAACACTGACACCACTAAACAGGTGGAATCATAAAATAACACACTTGGACCTCTTTGCTTCCTTCATTAAGAATGGCTCAGAAAAGAGGCTCCCAGGGAATCTACTCCACAGACTACTGGATCTCACTCCTCACATCTTCCCATGGACATTAAGGCCAGAAGAACAGTTAGTTCATCATCCTACAAATCAGTTATGGGTCATATCCAGTTATCCCTGTGTTGAATCTAACAGCTTTGTGTTTGAAAGGTTTTAAATCTACATGGCTCACACAATCCATTAAATAAAACACACTCTAGGACTTAAGTATGATGGACACTAGTCCTAAGAGAACTGAACTTTGATTTCTTTTATTAAATCTGCTCAAGGAATTTCATAGGTGACTTGCTACTGAATTTAAAATTTATTGAGCACTACCAAGATTCTTTGACAACTAGGCTTTAATGGCGGGGATAGGGGGTTGAAGGGCAGGGAAAAAAGGCACATTTTGTAATGATCTGACCTTTATCACTTTAGTGATGGGATCCTCTAAATTCTTCAAGGTCAAAAGGGGGTGGGAGATTGCGATGTGCCTCCTCCAACACTTAATCTTTTCCTACTAAGCTCAGAATTGCATTTAGCTCACTAGAGAGAAAAAGGGCTTTTTTTAACTGTGAGGTTGGACAAGGTTATGGAAGAGGAAAAAAAACCTCAAATTTCAATTGGCAAATCGGGAAAGCTAATTAGCAGCACAAGTGATAAATGGAGTCTTTTCGACAGGCAGTTTTCATGATGGTTTTGGACTTCATTAAAGTATGAGATTGCTGCTGCAGTTAGCAAGAATTGATCCACCCATCATGGCATGCAGCACAGTACACTTCAATACTGTCACTGACTTTCAATACAGTAACAGACTTTCGGCTGAATGCATTTGGGCAGCAAGTTCAAATCCCATTCCTATCTGCAGTCAGTCAATGAAAACTGCAATTGCTAATGTTGTGTGCCCAGTTCTCGTTTCTGTTTCACCAAATCAAACTGGCATAATTCCACTGGAGTCAATGGGACTGACCATGGACTGACGTTAATTTGTTCTGCTGGAAGCCATGGAATTACACTGATAAACTAAAGATCTCACCCAAAACCGTGGTAGCTACACTGAGTTGGTACAATGGCTATCTGCTAAAAACATAACTACCTCTCTTTACAAATCAAGACTGATTCTTAGAAAATGACCACAATTTCCCATCAGGAAAGAATACACCTCAAACACAGGAGGGGTAAACAAGAAATGAAGCATTAAGCTGGAGAAGGAGGAGATAAATCAGGTTTGGCCTATTAAACTGCTGTTTTAAAGAAACAAAACCTTCAATGACAATTTAACTAAATCTTTCTCAAAGATCATAAGATCTGCATATAAATCTGGAAGGAGAGAGCTCTGAAAACAGGATTTTGTTATAAATATGTCAAGTGCCTCCCATACTCTGTGGATTTCTTAACCAAAAGAAGTTCCACTAATCTAGGCCCTGTACCACTGGACCACTCACTGGACTATGTACACCTTTTCTGCTGTTGTCAGGCTTGTTCTGTAGGCAGTAACTCAAGTATAAGGGGAAATATGGAGACTATTTCAACTTTGGCCAAGATCTCTTCTTTCCTCATTACTATATTTCAATTTTCCTAATTGTCAGTAAATTGTTTAATTAATTTAATCCAGTCTAGGTCTGAGGTCAAACCAAACACCTTCTCCAAGGTGTAATGCTTGTTGATACAAGTCTTTACTATGTATAAACCATATTTTCTGTCTCAAACACAAAATCATGGCTGCAATCACTACGGAAATGTATTCCACTGGGTTTCCTACCTGAGCTCCTCCACATTAGCCACACTCTTGCCAAGTATTCCCTTCTCACGCCTAAGTTTTTTGATCTCCAGCCTGAGAATCCGCATGTCCTCCATCCTCTGCCGGTACTCGTTTTCGCCCCTGTTTAAGATGGCCTGCTGGATTTTTATCTTCTCATAGAGCAGCGCCACCTCATCATTGCGACGAATCAGCTGGGTGCCCAGGGCATGTCTCTCACAGAGCGCCTGCAGGCAAAGGGCGAAGAATCAACTCAGTTACACTTCCTTTACACAATCCTGGAGTACCATGATGATACCTGTATCAGTCAAAATCACATATATTAACAGGTTTCATTGGTATTAATTAAAGAAATATGGCAAGAACCTAATAATTTCCTCTATAAGGGTTCGATCACCTGAATAGTACAAACTACAGATTTCATTCACTTCAGTATCTTAACATTTTGGTTTTAATGGCATTATAAAGCTTTAGTACTTCCACATTCACAGAAGCTAAGAATCTTCATCTTAAAAATACAGTAGACAAACGAGGGGGCAGAATGCAGGGTATTTGAAAACTCAAATTAGGGTTTCCTACCTTGTCAAGTTCCTTATTCTGCCTCAGTCTCTCTGCATCAGCTTCAGCAATGATTTTTATGAGCTTTTTCTCTTCTGCCTCCTGATTTTCAATATAGGCTTTGGCTTCCTGAGCCTGTTTTGTCATCTTAAGCAGTTCAGCCTGATGAAGATAAAAAATAGAGGTGAACAATTGTTAATTAATAACTTCCCCTAACAGAAACCTACAATTAAGAGTTAGTTAAAAATATTTCATATATTCTTTTTACCTTCCTGAGAGGTACACATTTTGTTAGTTTTTGAGAACGAATCACCAAGATAAGCAAGCACGAAGACCCATAAAGAAATACTGCAAATACAATTTTAATGTCATTGTCTTATACACAATGGAAATTTGAAATATTTTTATCTATGACAATGGTTCAAGTTGTAATTCAGGAATGCCTCATTTATTTTTTTTTTTTAATTATCCAGCACAAATTTAGAAAGCTTTTCAATGGAGTTGCTATTCACAGTCAGTCTGGGATGTGAGAAAGACCAGTTCACCTTGCTGAAAAGGGCAACAATCTGTGCTGGATAATACAAAGCAGCATCAACTCAAGAAAGGCTTCAGACTGGAATAAAAGAATTGGTGGCAACCAGGAAGGGAACAGCAAGATTTAAGAGCCACAGCACTTTGTTCAGTGGATGTGTAAATGAGGAAGACTGTGAAAAGAGGGGCTGTCCCTAAGCAAGGAGGAGCAATGCACTGCTACAGCAACTGCACAGCAACAACACAAACACTGGAATGTGCCCAGTCATTCTATCCCACTGTCACAAAATCTGTAATTCAAGGCATGTATGTAGACAAAAACTAATTGGGTATTTCTAGATTATTAGAAGTTTTTACCACTGCTAGGCTATTAGAGCCAAGGTGGAGCTAGCTGACCACAGTTCATTTTCATGGATATGAAAACTTTCAAGCCTCAACTCCAAGACTTTGACACAACTCTGACCCTTATAAAGGATGATGCTCAAACTGCCTTTTGGGAACAAGCCTCATACAATGCTGAAAGAACGAGGCTGTGATGAAGGCTGCATCTGCAAAAACATTGATTTAAGACAGAAACAGTTCCATCATCATAATAAAATAGCTTGTTCCATTCTTATTTTCTTTAATAAAATTCTCATCTTCCTATATATGCAAGACATAGCTCTCTTAGTCAGTATCAGATATTCATCAGAATTCATCAGCTGAATAAAAATGCAAGTCACTTCATCCTGAAATGCAATCAACACTGTACAAAAGCTGCCCACAAATGTAAAACTGCTCATGTGTTCAGCATTGCTGGGTAATGTTTTTTTAATATATCACAGTTCTATGATCTCCTTATGTCAGAAAAATATGAATTGTAAACAAGAAGTGGCATTAGATGTGGTCAGCAAACACTCATAGAAACAGATCTCACTGGAAAGCACTGAGTTAAAATGAATGGGAACTGCCTTGTGTAGTAAGGAACATAAATTCTTAAAGTCACACAAGGATTTTCAGTTATATTAAATAGGCTCAGAACCACAGTATGAGAGTCTGTGTACATCAGGTAAGAGAAAAGGAAATGAATAAACACATTCACTGTGCAAGCAGAAAAATGGTCACATCTGAAACTGCTGTAAATCAGCACAGCTCACTTGAAGTTGGTTCAGAGAATTTGTAAAAACTGAACAACAGTCAGCAAGAAAAAATAACATATATGGGACCTAACAATATCTCAAACCAAACTCAAACTAAATTCTTGTTTAGATACTGAAATATTAGTGCAAGTGATATTTTTATTGGTATACTCTACTAGAAGTGGGAGGAAAACAGGAGTTTTACGGAAGTTATAACTGGGACTGAACACAGAATGGTGAAATAACAAGTCAGATTTTATATTCAGATTTCCAGAAAATGCTAACAAAAAAATATGCATAAACATCTACAACATTATACAAAGTACTTGACTTGCCAGCAGCTCCAATCTCAAGGGCCATAGATAGATGTTTTTTCAATATTCAGATCTTTTGTCAAACAATTCAAACCTGCAGCCCTGCATAAAGGCCAAATGAAACCAAAATATGGCATTGTACTGGCTTTAATAGAGCTTGGATTTACCATGATTAAACATTTCTAAGGCCTTTATGCCATCTGAGGTGAGCATGTCTGTAGAACCTCATTCCTATGAATCCCAGTCCTCCATGATTTTGCACATTGTTTAAACTTATTTCCCAAGAACAGCTTTCTTACTTCCTTCCAGATCAGTGCAAACAGGATAAATTGATGCTGGCTTGCAACACAAATAATTGGGTTCTTTTGTGTCTGTGACAATCAGCTCCCTCTGAATTCTCTTCTGGTTTAGTACTCAGCAGTGACACTCGGGTAGAAGACCTGAATGCCCTGAAGCAAGTCAGTTATGTCATGTCAGTGTATGGACAAACCTGCTGAATAATTGAGTGGGTAAACCATGCAGCAGTCATATGTTTGTCAAATAAATGTCAGACAGTTCTGAGGTGATGAGACAGAATTGGGGACTAGTTAAGGCAGAAAGCTGCACACAGGGAATGAGATGCTGTTTGACTTCTCCATCACTGATAGAACATCTCTGAGACAGATCAGGTACAAGAATACAAATTCATCACCCTTTTACAAAGCTCTATTGACATCTTGTCATAACTGTAATGTGCTGAGAGAAGCTGAAAATTCAAGGAGTCATTGCAGCAAAGCAATAAACTGACAAAAGAAAACATTGTGAAAAGTGACAGGGAACTTTTGTTTTTTGGGGGTATTGTTTGCATTTTTTCTTGCCATTTTTTTTCCTAGTGCGTAGTGAAGATTAAAAATAAACTCCTGTGAACTCAACTCCATAAATCTTTTCAGAGTACAGTAAATTGGGTTGAGATACCACCACAAATCTAATAGCTTATCTAAGGATGGGCTGCAGCTAGCACTGAGAAGAACCACCCAAGCTTCAAGCTCAGATTTCCTTTGATTTAAGACAGATTCTTCCTGCTTTATACCACAATATTAAAATAACTTTCTGTACAGAGGGACCTACTAAAAGGCACTGCCTAACTCCCAAAAGAGTAATGCTTGCTGGTTACATAGAAATACAACAATGTGCAATATAATGGGTTTGCACTTAAAAACAGTAGGAAGAAAAAGTTGAGTTATAAGAGTCTACATTAAAAAGTTTGCAAGGATCAGTTTATCCACAAAATCAACATTTCTGCAAGCAAAGTGGAACTTTTTAGTAAAAAATGTTCAGTCATCAAGAGATTTAAAGCTTCCAACAGACAATTCAGGTCTCTTATTATAATTACAGGCAGAGATTAAATTTGTCAGATACACAGATTTCTGAAACTAGTATCTCTAAAGGGTACAAAGATCATGTCCTTCAATTACAGAATAGTTTATTAAAATACAGCAAAAGAACTATCACAGGTCAGAATACAATGCAGTCTGTGATATCATGGAATCTACCCTTTGCAAGAGAGTGTCTGTGTCAAGGGTCTTACTTTCAATGACTCTTTCTCATCCTCTGACTGCTGGAATTCCACGTGTGCTTTCTCAAGGGCTAAATCCTTTTCTTTGATCTCCTCTTTCAGATGATCCACGTGACGTGTAGCAGTTTTCAGTTTCATCTTCATTTCTGCTATCTCATCCTAATAGAATAGGAAGTGTGATCACAGAGAGGGTTAAAGCAAGAGGTTGTTTGTGATGCAGAGTTCAGGCTATTTAGATGCTAGAAAATGTAGCCATGGTGCATGAAAGTAGATCTGTTGTACCTATTATAAAGCATTGCTTTTTAATCTAACAGAACAAAACAGTTCCATTAAAAAATAATTTTTTGTTTACACCAGCATGACATTGCAATATGAAAACCTTTAAAAGATACACTGACAAAAATAATGACCATCAATCATGAGTTTAATAAGACATTTAATTTAAGTGCTGGGCACACTATAAGAACTAGCAGTCAACCCAAATCATTAAGATTCTGATCATATCCATCTGTTTTCACGCTTCTAATAACATGCTTTTCCAACAAGGTCGTACATAGTTGGGCACAAATCTTTGGAGAGAAGCTGGTTTTGCACAAGCAAACATAGCCCTCAATAAGATACCAATATATGCTAGCTTGCACAGAGGTGCAAAGTGCAAAAGAGGGCTCAGTGTTTGAGAAGGCTCTGTGAAAATATTTAGCATATACTTTAAGGTCAAACACAGAGCAAAAAGGCTGGTAGCACTGAAGAGTGATCAGGTCAGTAGGAATACTTCTACTCACATCACAAAGGTACTGTACAAAATTAGCATTTCAGCTCAGCACCGTGACAGCACGTTATGCCATGAAATGGAAGCTAACAGAGTCAATGCTTAGACAGACATGTTCTTCTGGGCTATTTAGAGACTATTAAGCAACTTTAGAGGCTATTACTCCTCTGCTAGAACCCACCACCTCACAGAGGACATCATAATCTCTCACGTGAATACAATCTCTTCCAGTACCAAACCAGGGTAGCTTAAAGCTCCTTCTGCACTATCCACCATAGGTGCGGATTTCCTTGACAAATGAGGAATGCTTTCTTGCATGAAGTGCTTAACATAGCTAAGCAAGATCTTGAGTCAAGGCAATCTTCACCCAAACAGCACAGAGAAAGTACTGATTAGCAGTAATATGTCACTAGGCTCAGCTGTTTGCATGTTCAGCCACTTTCGTGAAAGCAAAAATTATTAAAAGCTGTCTTTGGTACACAGCCTATAAATCTCTTCAGTGTTGTAAAAGATGACAGAGATTTAGCATATAGAGCCCAGATGCACCCAAATACATTCTTAATTCTTTACTTAATGCAGAACAGTAAGAACACACAATTTTGCAAACTGGTGTCCTCATCAATTTGCTTAAATAAATGAACTCCTAACACAAAAAGAAACCCCGAGGATGAAAGCATCAGGTATTTACATCATATTAACAGACTGCCAGCATGCCTTTTCCATTTTAATGACTTGAATATTATGGTACTCTGGAGACCACTGACAAGGTGGACATGAGATCATTTCACATTAAGCAATCCGAAAATACTTGCATCCAGCTTTACCTAAACAAGCTTGTGCAAATTTTACTTAGCAAAATGAGAAAAAAAATTGTCATAATGCCATAATGTTTAAAACAACCCTCTTTTCCTTATTTTTTCTTTCATGACTGGCTGACCTGTTAATGAACATTGAATAGCTATTTTTCTCATTGCTAAACATAACACTGCCAAAAGATCTTTTGGAGTCAGCTATTTTCTCACACAGGACTTGCTAAAAGAGTTTTGTAGTATGACAAGTTATTAGCTATTAAAACCTAAACATTGGCCTCTAACAACTGGAACTGTGAACAGTATAGTGTTACCATCATGTAACATTCAAAACCCAAAGATCAAAAAGCTGCTCCCTTTTCTCAGAACATAGATGCCTGCTCTTTATAAATAACCAAATTTATTTTGTGTGTTTTAAAATAAAAATAACTAGGAAAAAAATAAGTATTGTGATTTTTCAGCCTATTTCTCCTGAGAGATTGTTTGGGAGCAGCAAGAATACCAACACTTCATCCACAGATGAGAGGCTGACTAAGGCCAAGTAAAGCATCCCACATAAATGGCAAAATGGTGCACTCGTCATAAAATTCAGCCCACAGCTGGTTAGGAACTTGGACAGTTCATTCCCATGTGCTTCTCAAATAAAACACCTACCTATTCAAACCTAAGTATAAATTTGTAATTTACTGTATTTGTTTATGTCATAAATACTTATTTGGAAATAACCCAAGGCTTAAAATGACAGCTCTCCAGGGTCCCAATGTCTGCCAATTATGATAGGATTTATGTAGTATTTTAGATCTTTACATCAGAATAACAGAATATATTCTTAAATGGTCTGTTCTCTTCTTCTAGTATTGTTAGTGAGATCCCCAAGGAGGATATATGAATTGAAAGAATCATCTCCTGAGGTAAATGACACTCTCTGAAAGAAACAAGCAAGGTGGAAGCGTTTGGTTCTTGTCAGAAAATTCTACTTCAGCTGGGAAAGTGTTCCCTCTGCTTCCTAAATCATTATTCACAGTAATGTGCATACTCATTCAGGGCTATGGAGGCAATCTTATTCCCCTTATACCCTATTTCACATACATGCATACAACTCCTAAAGGGATAAAACAGATTGGAGGCAGGATGGTTTTATGATTCTGTGGCTCCAGTGTACCATGATTTTACGCATGGTTTGAAGCAGGGATATTTCCACATGATGACTGTGGACTCCTATTTCCAGTCCAAATACAAATGGTATAGATAAAACTTCAAGGACCTAAAACACTCATTTCCCCAAAACCCGCAAGAATGAAGAAACCACCTTCTGCCATTGATCCACTGAGCTTCCCTTTTACAAATTAAAATTAAATCAGGAAAGAAACAAGACCAGAGAGAGAAACACAAGAAAAAATGTACCCTTCTACCTTAGCTTCTATCAGATTTTTACTGTACAGGGTCCTCTCTGTTCTCAAAGTTTCACAAAGGTTTTGTTGCTGTTTTAATTTAATCATTTGCACTTGTATTTCTTTCTCACAGTCGCAGATCTGCATTTGATGTATTTCAAGATCTTTCATGTGATGGAGGACCTGGAGCAAAAGGAAAGGAAAGAAATTAACATGATTAAACCATCATTACAAGATTAGAAGGATGGGACAGTTTGTGGTTTTCTTCTAAAATGACAAGTTCAAATCCCTGTGATAAGCAGTTTTAACTACAGCTGAAAATTACTCCAGTCCAAATACAAGTTTAACCTTACTGACTTGCTTACGTGGGACAAAATTGTATTTTAATCTGATTCCTTGGTTTTACTGAGACTAAAAACTTATAGAGATGCACATATTTAATTTAACAAGCTACTGAAAGAAAATATTGCCACAGAGTGGGTGTAATAAAATCAACATAAACAGTTGCCATCAAGAATAGACTTAGTATATTTATGAAGCAAACTTAGATTTTGGATGTTGTTCTGGATGTCAGCTGTATGATAAGATGAATTAACACACATGTTTTTCCAAGAAGCTCTGCATGTACTCTTACATTCTAACAATCCAATTTTTTTTTAATGAACACGTGACCACAAACAGTTGATGATCACAAACTGCTCATATATAATTACAATAATAAGAAAATCAGTTAATGTAACTTACACTTGGTCTAAATAAGTAGGTAATCACCATTAGTTTCTTCTATAAAAGATTAGAAATAATTATGTGAAGATTACCTGTAGGAGAATGGAGTATTGTAGACTATAGAAAGAGGATGATTACATGCAGTATCAATAAACAAAAATTCAAAATTTTATAGACACCTTCATTAAGCAGTTACCACTATAACAATACATAACAATTGCTATGTTAGAGGGGCAAAAATACAAATAGTTGCTAATCATTATGCTGATATTCTAAATTACTTTTTTAAAAATGCAAGAACCTTTCTCCTGCTATACAAAGCTGAAAATTGAGGAAGCTCAAGGAAGAAGCATTCATATAGAATTCAGCATTACAAAAAATAGGAAATAAAACGTGTACTTAGGAGTACACACATCAAGAACACAGTTTACCATGTTCACTACCCAGGAGGAATGCCATCCTTAAAGCTAGGGAAAAAAAATTAAGCATTAAAAAAAGCTGAGGAATCATATGGACAAAACCCAGGAGAGAAGCCAATTTCCAAATGCAGGTCATATCCCATTCTCCTGACTCCACTTTTAAAAGTAGAGGTTTGGGCTAAAATTCATACTTGTATGTCAAAGCAGAAGAAGAAAACAAATGTTTATATCAAATAGTCAATAACTGCAAAGTTTGCAGTTTATAGTGTTGTCCTTTCCTCAGCAGTAAAGCCTGAGGGAGGCCGAAGGATGGGGCAGGAGCTTAAATAATTAAATATTCTACCAGGTACCTCCTACCAACTTTGAGGATAGCGGAGAGCTAAATACCAAAAATTTTATTACAGAAGCAGGAATACAATTCCAGCACATTGTAGCTGACTTCAGGTGATCCCAGGAACTGCTTACAATGCAATACAAAAACACAGTCCCAGTTTATAACCTACTCCTGCCTTTTCCTTTGCTGTTTAAACAATCTGCCAATAGTAATAGCATAGAGAAGAAATCAATAAGGCATATTTTCTATCTGCACTATGGTGATCATAAGCTGGAGTGAGATTTGAAAGTAGGTCACTGCATTTGTAAGTGTTTTACTTGGTTCTGATACAATATAAGTGTAGTAAGATTGTGGACAAAGTTTTCTGAGTTGTGCTCACAGGCTAGATGCTGACTTTACTTTTTCAGGAATTATTAAACCCAAATAATTCTCTCTTATAAATACAGAAAAGATACATGCAGTGTTTCACAACACAGCCCCATGGGAGGCTAAGCATCCTCAATTCCTATTCAGTCAATAGGCACACTACACCTCTCAGATTTGGCAGCGAGGGCACAAAGCTAAGCATAAAGGATTTGGTATTCATAGCTTTTCCTGTATCCTCATGCTATTTTATCTGTACACTTCACTATCCTCTACTACTGGTTACCTGTTTAGTTCTATGAACCTACTCAATATGTCAGTAATGGTGCTGTCCTTATTTGCTTATCCATTTTTAACCACTCCAGGAAACACTGCCATGGCCTTAAGGATATGCCTATTGAACATCGGGTTTTCCAAAGACTTAGTGAATTTAAAAAAGTTAATGTATCTTTTCATTTTCATTGATAGGTTGTTAACTGTAAACTTAACATTTTAAAAGGCTTTATTTGAAAAAAGCCAACATATTAAGGACTGGTTTCATGACCCCTCAGAAAACACAGCCAGGGAACAGTTCAGATGGGTGAAAGGTACACTTCACTGCCTCCTTTTCAGCAGCCTAAACCTTACACAGAGAAACCAACATCTCATAATTTAAGAATTTCAATTCAAAAAGGAAAAAAATCTGCTAAAAGTTGAACCCAGTAATACAAGCTACATAACAAAGAGCAAAGAACAGATTTTTTTTTTTACTTTTCAAGTGGAACTGACTTGAAAATAAGTAGTCAGCCAAGCCAATAGTTAGAAAAGGAAGTCATGCATGAATTCTCACCCCAAGAATATTTTACTGTTGTGTATATAACTTTGCTGACTCTGTTCATCAGTTAATAGTAAATGATGATTCTGAAAGATTAATTTTGCAGCTCTGTAGAGTATGTGCTGCTATAAATAGCCAGACAGCTTTCAGGGCCAGTATGGCTACATCTCTGGGCTTAGATGAGTTTGGCTCTTTTCCAGCTCTTATGCAATTCCAAAGGTGGGTGCAATCTCCTGCAAAACCACCTTGGTGGCAAAAGATGACAGAAGAGCACTGACTAGCCATAGCCTAACTGCCATCAGTAGCTTATTTCCCACCAGCTGTGAAGTGACTCCTGGAGTTTTGACACAACTTCTCAAGTCTGAATAGGTCAAACAGTGAACCTAAATACTACCTATTTACATAATAATCCTTATCCTATGTCCTCCTACCCTGCATTTGGACGTGAAGGACATGAGTCTCACATACTCCCATGCTCAAAACTATTCTTGCTGCTCTTCACCTGTAAGCAGAATCAGGAACTGCCCCTTTGGTGAGCCAAGGAAGCCTGCCAGTCCTTTGGAAATTTGCAGTCACAACGCAGGGATGATTATACAAACTACAAATTATACAAGCTACAGTGTCATAAGCCATTTACTGAGACTCTGCCTTATAAGAAAATATTATAAGATAGAAAATTTACACCCAAAGTGGCAGGGGGAAAAAAAGAAAAATCAAGCAAGCAAACATTTGTCATTCTCCCTCTCAAAATATCATGGGCAACCCCATACAGAATTAAAAGAAAGAGCCTTGTAGTTACGAGTGTTATGAATTACTCTCTGGCCCTAATTTACAATGTTCTTAACTCATTTCTACACTGTTAGAAATGCACTATGAGGGAAAGAAGAAAAATATGACTTTGCAACAAAGACAAATCTCACTTGTGTGGAAAATTATTTACAAGAAAATGACAAGAGGTATTCCAGGCAATGCAGCATATACCATTCCAAAATGATTTAAAAGCCCCTGGTCATATGAAGTTGAAAGGATAATTTTACCATGAAAAGATAGCAAATAACTTCTGAGTTGAAACCACTTGAAAGCCAATCCCAGTAAACCAATGAACTCCTTGGAGGGATCTCCAATGTGATATTCAGCAATTAATGGAACATGTTAAAAACGTGCCTGATTTTACTCCATCAGGAATAAAGTTATACATAATAATGGGCAGCAAGCAACAAATTTTATGCAGTATTTCTCTGCAGCTGCTCCTAGAAAACTTGTTTTGCAGTCTATCTTGAACATGCTGAGATGTTTTCACATACTGGAGTAAGCCTTCAAAATGTTAAGTACCTTACAAAGATGTTGAGCACTGTTAGCTCTCACTGGCCTCGATTTTAGGACAGCAGTCGCATGCAAGATAAGGTCCTTTGCAGATAAGACAGGACAATCGAAGTATAACTTCCAACTGCATATAGGAGTTTCATCTGTGGGACTCATGTATAAGAAGTCAAGAGGCCTTGGTTTGAACTCCAGCCCCAGCTTCATTTCTCAATAGATTGCTGAATCACTGCAATACAGGGCTGGACTCCAAGTCTCTCACAGTACTAATAATTCTCTCTCCCATTGATAAGGTTTCCCTAGAGAGAGCTGAAGCAGTAGCAGGCAACAAGCTTTGACAACAAGAAAAATTTGTACTCTGTACGAAGACCACCAATCCAAGCTTTCTTACACTAGCATGTTGGAAAATTAATGTATCATCTTCACAGTTCTGAGAGTAAGACAGGAAAGAACCCCTTGCACAAAGAGCTATTCCTACCTTCTCTTTGAGCTCACTTGTTTCCTTGATGAAACTCTCTCTCTCCTTCTCCAATTGGTAAATAATCTTCCTTTGTTTCTGAGCTTCTATCTTATAACTTTGGATTTCTGTTTCCAAGTTCTGTTTTGACTGTTCATGGAGCTTCACCAAATCTATCTGCTTCTGAGTAGCATTTGTAGCCTTGATCAAGTTCTATAGGGAACAAAAAATAATGAGTATCGAGCTGAAAATGCAACAGTGTCACCACTATGAAAAAAGCATGCCATTGTCAAAGTGGATTATGGACTTTTCAATGTTATTATTCCTTATCTAATTTGTTCAGTTGAAACACTTAAACCTCAAATCTGATTTAAAAACCAAAATCTCTAGCACAGCTGCTAAATGGAGCTTTTTCTGATTTGAAGTTAAAACACAAGTGTCTGCATTACAAAATAAAACTGACAGGATTGTTTACAAGTGGATATAACTAATGACTGGAAAATCCTTACCAGCTTTAAGGCATTTCAATTGTAAAGCATGCCAATAGCAGTCACATTATTAATAAAGCCAAATACACTTCTTTCTAATGTCTTAAATAGAAGATTAAAGCTTGAAATTAACCAAGCTTACTTTAAAATGTTGCATAAATATTAAACAGAAAACATCAACATATCAGCCTCCAGGTCCCACTTTAAATTTCTTTCCCTGTACAAAACAAATATTTTTTACCTGTCAAATCAGAGCCTCTGCTAGATTCAAGACACAGGACAGTGAATCTACACCAAATAAAGCATGTCAGAAATCATCTTTTAGCATTGAATTTAGTAGATAACACTTCAGGACTGCCCATAAACATGAGATGCTATGTTGCAGTACAAGAACCTTGGGATGATGGGAAACCATCAGTATGAGAAACAGATCTAAAATCAAGGATTTCTAGTCAAACAGCCTGCCAAGCTGCAACACAATGTATCAACACTTTGGCTGCTCTTTTACTAGCAAACACTTAGTTTGCCTAGATTAGTACTAAACTTCATAAGATACAGAGTGTAAAAGCACAGATGTAACTAACTCTTAGGACACCAAATAATGGGTTTGCAGTTTGAACTCCCTGATGGTTTATATATTAAAACTTGGAAATCTTCTGTGTGTTTATGGATAATACCACTGTTTCAGTGCACAGAAAAGAAGTAGTTTGTGCATCTGCTTAAGGAAATCTGAAGACTTTAACTTAACGTTATGTATTTTACATTTTTGTGTTGATGTGAATGTTAAGCTATAGGCTTTTCATTTTCAAGCTCTGAGGCTTATCAATATGACTAATGCAAACTCACCTGGTTTAGCATATCCCTTTCCCTCACAAGCCCATCTATGGTTCTCTTGTCAGCCTCTGCCTGCTTTTTGGCTGTCTCTAACTCTAGAGAAAAAGAGAAAAGACAATGAATTCTGGGTTCAAATTGTACAACTGTTAAAAATGCAGAAACAATTCACTGGACTTTTTTTAAAGCCTTAACATTACATGATCAGTTCAATTAGCTGTGAACAGGTTTTACAAACCTACGTATTAGCTGATGTTAATGCTTTTATTTATTTGCGTACCTAGAATAATCTGGAAGAACTCAGAAAACAGATCCACCTATCTGTTAGGCACCTACCTTTCTCCAGTCTGATTATTTGATTTTTTAGCATATTTTTTTCATGTTCTGCATCAACCTTTTGTTCCTCTGCAGTACGCAGCTTATTCTGGAGAACATCTCTCATTTTGCTCAGCTTTGAAATTTCAAGGTGCATCTGAGCCGCTTCATCCTCTATCTCCTACAGAACAGCAACAAGGGAAGGGGAGAGAAAGCATCCACAGAAATAAAGAACAAAATGCTTTTTTATTTGGTGTACACTTACTCCATGAATCTCAGGAAGAAAGCTATAAATTCTGTGGGTCAGCTGCAGAAAGATAATTAGCTAATTGAACAACATTTAAAATAATTTAAACAAAACCAGCTTGGGAAAGGAAAATTATAATCAAATCTTACACTTTAGGGCTGAAGATGATCAATAAAGAACCTCCAGCTGCAAACCTCACACAGCACTACCCAATTAGACCAGTAGATTAAAAACAGGCAGCTCTACTTTCATTTGAAGTACTAAGCACAGTGACTATGATGAGAAGGATATCTGTAGTGTGGTCTGATTGCATGTCCCTAAATAGCAGGTATGTATTACCCCTATCTCTTTTATAACCTGTGGCTTTAAAGAAAAAGCAAAATCTAGAGTCTTTCTCATTCACTATACAATAGACAAAAAAATAATCAATCAAAATGCTGCATAACTGGTTACTGGGAAACATAACAAATAATCACAACAGCAATCAGTCTTTTTCCTTTTAAGAAGTAGGTATTACAGCCATCACAGACTATAGTGTTCCACTTACAGCCTCAGATACTGATTCTGTGGGATGGGGAATCCTGCTATGAAGCATCCTCTGGGAAAATGGAAATCTCTTCAGTTCTTACTGACAATAACCTTCAAAGTGCCTTAAGAGTACTTTGACAATTGACATTGCCCAGCACTCAGCAGACTGCAGGATGGTATTGCAGGCACAATCCCTACAAAAACTGCACCCCCGATCATGACTCATAAGGGCTCATAACTTTGGCTTTGGCAGCTGGCTTAACTACTAACTGGGTAGTATCTTCTATTTTTTTGTTCCCAGAAGTCCATGTGCACAACTCAAAGTTCCAGCAACTTTTCCTAAAATCAGGATAAGATCATAGAATCAAAATCCTCTGATACTCCAAAGTCCCAGATATAAGTCATATTTGTAAAGTTTTAACAATGATGGTATTGGTAATGATAAAACTGGATAACCTGGAAGAGACAGTAAAATAGGTAAGAAAAACATCCTTCAGTTTGCCTAATACTATAAAACAGAAAGAAAGCTCCTACCATCCTCCATTAAGGATCCGAATCAGAATCATCTATGTTGTATCAATTGTGAACTGAGCTTTTAATCTGACAGGGGTTAGTTTCTATCAGACTAACAGTCTCTGTTGGCAAACAAGCCTTTTATTTAGGTGAATTAGTTATACTCAATAAAACTCAAGAAGATAATTCTTTTCTACCTGAATTTTCTAATGTTTAGTGTTTTAATTCCAATGGTGACACAAAATGCAAGATATGGTAAATAGCATAACAGCACCCAACATCTATACATTACACTTTGTCAAGTGCTCTCAAAGTACCCTAAAAAAAATATGCAGGAATCCTTTAATTCTTCCTCAACTGAAACTTGTTGTATAAAGTTGTATACAATGACTTAAGTAGTAAGTTGTATAAAATGACCTAAGTAATGTGAAGTCAGGTAACAAAACCATTTAGATCTGAAAGTAAACACCATCTTGGTTACTTACATTTAACTTTCTCAACTGACACTGGGGGGAAAGAAATTTTGTGCTGAAAGCAATTCCCTTCAGTGCAAGCTATCCAGGACACCATTGTTATATTTTATTAATATTTTTCAGTGGATTTTGGCAAAATTTAAATTACGTTAGTCATTGTAAGAAAGTCATTGCTCTTATTTGAAGATCCCAGGATTGAAGAGACTCCATGTTTGTGACCATGTATCCTTTATGAATAGAGTGTATTGAGCATTTTGGTTCATGTGTTTTATGAAACAACTTCTCCAGGAAAACAGGTGCTACGTTGTCAGATGAGAGGGATGGAGATTACCATGACCATGGTACTGCCATAGAAAGAACAGCATCCAGCATCAGCCAGACCTATTCCTAAAAACTACTCATGTTTCCTCCAAAACTACCACTGGGGAACCATCAGGACAAGGACTGAAGTCATCCCTGTTCCAAGCAGTAAGATGTCATTGGAATGATACAGCTGGTAGGATGCACCTTCCGGAACTTACTTTCAGTTGTGCCGTCTTCTGACCGATGTCCTTCATCACATCATCAATCATTGCATTCTGCTGCCCACTCTCTTCTGTGAGTTTTTGATATTTCATCTTCAATTGCTCAAGTTCCTTACCAGCTTTTTCATTCAAGATCTGTTAGATTAAAGAACAATCCTATTAATTCTTCTAAATCTCATTACAATATCTACGTACACCTGAAGACAGAACCTTCCTGCTACCCAGAAGATAAAAGCTGCTGCAGATTGTTGTCTGCTTAAAAACCAGTCTTCACTGTTAATGAAATTACTAAATATGATACATGGTCATAATGACATGGAGAAATTATAATTTCTAATGAGCAACACATCCAGTGTCATCTTCCTTTTCTGGAAGCTTAGCAGGTCTTTATTGCAGGTGGTAGATAGATATTTTAAATCTCGTTAGGCATTTGGCAACCATCACATAATACAGTTTGCTACATACAATTACTGAAAACGAGATTCAAATCATCAATCGGTAGAGGGCAGGGGAGCTCTGTTTTATGAGAAAGCATCCTACATTAATGTGCTGATAACATTTCTCTGGGTACAGGGTTTGCTGAGACCAGGACAAAGCATTTTGCTCTTTAATTTGTCTTCAGTTAAATATCTGGAATAGTGGTTTTGTGGTTTCTGTACAGAACACATATTTCAATACTGGAGCTACCAGATTTATCTTCTGCTTGATGGAAATTTCCTCACAGATATTACAGATATAAATGAGGAATGAACAACCATCATATTTTTCACTCCTGATGAAGTCAACATATATTGCTTCCTTAAAAAATATGAAAGGAAGAGAAGTAGAATCTAGTGTAAAAACAAGGAATACTCTTTTTTATATTGCAAATGTCAGGATAACACTGTTTCAGGCAATCTTTTATTGAGTCTTGGACAGGGGTGGGATAAAGCTCATAGCAGCTGTATCAAACAATTTTCAATGTCATGCAAGAAAGCGTATTTCATTAGAAACTTCTAATAAAATAAGAATAAGAATAAAAAAATATCAGGCATTACAAACAACTACAATTCAATTGAGACAATAACCTGATGAAGAGCAATAGTTGTGTCACCTTCTTTTGAAGATCTCTACTCTGACCCTTGCAGAGTTGGACAGCCTGTGTTTTGGACAGACTTCTAAAAAAAGACCCTTCAGATTCAGGACCTTCACAGACACCCTCAAGCCAGCACAGGCAAGAAAGGCAACGCAAGAGTCTGGTTAAATTAGCCCACATAGCTCTTTATGTGAACTCTTGGTTTCCAGGACAGTTTGGATAATTCCATGTCCCTAAAATCTACACTTTGAAAGGCTGAAAGAGACTATAAAAAGGAGGAAGAATGGAACAGAACCAAGAATTCTACAAACAATGTGATTGCTATGGCAGATGATGGAGCTGCCCTCAAAAGCTATATCAAATCAGTGATATTCAGAGAAATAATCAAGTCTTCTCTCTATCTTTTTATATTGAGTATTTTATTACAACTATGTGTTGACTAAAAATTGACGCAGACCTCTACCTTCTCAAATCAGGGACCAGAAGGAAAGAAAAAGCCATTAAAGTCATAAATTTACAAGACACACAGAACTCACAAGGAAGTTTCCCTTGAGGTAGGACTGGTTTACAGTGATGAGATCTCCCCTGCCATTTACTGAAATTGCTTCTCTGAGAGTTTCTCAAAGTCAGGGGAAATGGACTGAAAACCTGAAAATTCACACACTTGCAGAACACTGTGTTAGGACACATCCAGATAGTTTTTAGAAACAGAATGAGGACAATCAATCAAAAAGGTTTATGAAGACAGTTCCTTGCCCTTTCACAGGCTCGAGAAGCAGATAAAAATTATTGTGAAAAAAAAGAAAGAAGGGGATAGAGGTAAAACTATTTTACCAATGCCACTAGACACAATTAGTAGCAAAACTGGCAATTCAGCCAGAAGTCCAACCTGGCAGTCTCCTGCTCCTATAGATCATCCATGCTCTTCACAGACTGTCTCATTTGCTGTGATTTTTCAAGATGAACAATATCATTGTGACCCACTACCGATTTCTGTGAGAAATCTATCTGAAATCTGTCAGCAAGCTTTACATACTTATTTATTAGTAAATCAATATTTATATAAAAATAAGTGTTTATTAAAATGTAATAACTTAGAATATTCTCCCTCCTTATCCTTTCAGGAAAATCCATTTTCTTCTTTTCTTAATTACACTTTTTACTCTAATCTTAGACCTGATGAATACAGTGCCATGTACCCTACCTTCTGCTCTCTAAGATTATTTTCTATTTCCATTTGTTTCTCTTTGTTGTTCTCTATTTCTTGCTGTAACTTCTGCACCTCAGCTTCCTTGTTATCCATTTCATCTAGAAGATTTTTCAGCTCAGTCTCCATTTTTTCCTTCTTTCGTGTCTCTCGTAATTCCTCACTTTGACGCAGCTGGATGTCTTGCTGAAGCTATAATAATAGAGAAGAAAAAAATTTTAAATTCTGCTGCCTCTTACTCAGGAAAACAATTCCTCTCACCTCTCTGACTATGCTTGATTTCAAAAAACAAGAGCTTCTATATTACTGAAACCACCACTGTATGCCAGATCTTCTCAGAAGTAATTACATTTTCTAATGGTTGAACAAAAAATTCTGCATGAGGGCGCTATTTCTTGATGACAAAAATTTGTTAAACACCAGTCAGTTCACCCAGACAGAAGGGTCTGATACAGCTCAAACACAAAAGCATTAGTCTGGAGATGCAGTGGCACAAACATCTTTACTGTTATAAGTTACTTGCAAAATGGTACTTTCTGAAGGCAGCATTAAAATTAATTGGGGTTTGATGTTGTATTGCAAGGATTTTTCTTTTTATTATTCTCTCTGACTAGCAGAAACATTTATTACACTGATATTAAAGGAAAGAGAGATGTCAGACCAGTGTTCATTTTCACAACTGGTCTCAATCTTTCTACTCTCAAAGTTCCTACGTGGGAACTCTGAAAGAGGAAGTTTTTCTCGTACTTAATAGACTGTCTTGTGAATCCTGCTCTCTCCCTCCACAAAAAATTTGATGGAGCAGAATCAGCAGAGAGGAGACACAGGGGGCTGATCCATATGGAAATACTTGGTTCAGCCAGGGACCAGCAATTGAAAGATGTTCTTTGCTTAAAGATTCCTCCCCCTCTGAACCCAGAGATGAACAGTTGCCAGAACTGACAGGGTCTTCAATAGAATCTTCAAAGAGCCATTGTCATTTAAGCAGTCTGAAGTGGAGAATAATTTCATACTGGGAGAATGGGAGGTGATTACTAATGCTGTAACAATTCTTTAAATTTAAGGGTTGATGAAGTGTGCATCAGAAGATTAAGGCTGCCAAGATTCAACAAGTTTTGACTCTTTTCTCTTATGCCCACAATGCTGTCAGAAAAACAAAGATTTTATATTCTCTTCTAGTACATTCCCAGTAAGCTGCTTTAGAAATAGAAACAATTTCTGTGCATGAAACTTAGACTGATCATTACTTTCCTATTTGTGATTTATAAAAAATTGAAAGCCAAATGCTCCTTCTACCTCTTCTCTGTTCTTTGCTTAAGTGTTATTTTCTACTCTTCCTTTCTCCTGGTGTCTCACTCCAGCCCCTATTTATATTCTGCATTAATTCTTTAATTTCTCATTATTATGCTTATATATTTGATATATCAGAGTTCTGTATCCCATCTTCCATCTTTTTCTACTTTCCATTCAGTGGCTATTCCACTGATCCTCAGCCTTCTCTATCTCTAGTTGCTCTATACATTTCAAGAAAGCCATACATACTGATCACAAAAAAACAACTGTCTATTCAGATGGTCAGGAAAACAGAAAGCCCAACTCAATGTAAGGCTGAGATGGAGTATGACTGCTCTCTACAGACAATTGTGTGGTGAAAAAATTAAGCTGAAAAATTTTAATCCAGAATCAGTGTAAAGAAGAAAGTAGGAGGTCCCTAACCATGAAAAAAAGTAAAGATCTGTAAAAGCTTTCCATAAAGGAGAAAAAATAACTTCAATATTTTTTAGGTCAGATTTTGATACATTCTTAAAAATTATAGTATCTCATAATATGGCAACCACTGCCAACAGCAAGGGACCAAGAATCTTCATTCCAGGTCTATGTTGTAAGTGTCTCTTTAGAGGCATAAGGATTTACAATACAGAAAACATCCCATTTCTTCAGCATTAAAGATGATTACAATTCACAAAAAGCAACCTTGGCCTCATTGGGGTATTGGGAAGCTATGGAAGCAACTGGTACATGACAATAAGCTTTGCAAAGTACATAGCCTAGAATTACAGAAAAATATAAAAGTCATTCACAGCAGAGTCCATTCAGAGCACTCCTGAAAATGTTTAAGAGGTGAAAGAACAGGTAGTAGCATACTAGTCACTGGAGATCAACTGCAAGTGTGGAGAAATGCTCAGGACAAAGCCTAAAATCACCATCTGGTGATCAGTACAGACCTGCAAAACGGATTGCTCTGCCTCATTTTTTGCCTTTTCTGTTTCCTGCTGCTGCTCTGTGATTTCAGTGAGACCTTGACGTAACTTCACGACTTCTGACAACAATTGGTCTCGCTCCTCTGTTACCTCTTCTTGCAATCTTAGCAAATCATCAACACTGGAAGCAAGGAAATAACAGTCAAGCAGTGTCACAGGCCGTTTCTGCTCTTCCTCCTATGCCAGAGAAAGACTTTTGTGAGAAAGAGGAGTTTATTTTTTTTTTTTCCATTTTAAACTCCTCTGTATTAAGACTGATGGTCAACTGAATTACATGCATTATCTACTGTGATCAGAGTCACCATCAACCAAGTCAAAACTCTTTCCTTTTTTATCACATCTTCATGGGTCTGAATAAGCCTTCTGTTTCCCAGAAAGGTAATAGGGGAAAAAAATTCCCTCTTCTATGCCCACTGCAAAATTAGTCAGGGACCAAAAGTGTTGCACTGTTGTAACCAATCTCTCTGTGCCTTACCTGACCGGACACCTAACTAGGTTATGTCTTACAGTCATCACATAATGTAAAAATAAAAACTGACTCTTTGTTTTGACACATTTACAATATGAAAAGAAGTCCAAGCTGTGGGTGCAAGCTCAGTCTTAAAAAGCAGCCTAACTGTTCTAATAGATTATAGGGTTTTCAAAGCTGAAATCTGTAAAGGAGTTACTTAGTCTCATGGCCTTGTCACTGAACAGAGTATTTAAGGATGGAATCAGAGTGCAATACAGAGGGAATTTCAAGACAAAATTGTAAACTGGCAGGTGTCAGCAGCCTGGGCAGAGCTGGAAACACGAGTGAGGTACTGGCAAAGTAACAGCTCCTGGATCTTGCAGGAAAATGTAAAAAGCAGCCAGAGAAAGAAAACTTCTACAGAGAGTTATACTGGGAGAGGTTGGATGAACAAGCTTTTAGACCCAAGGAAAGCTGTTAAACAGGTCCAGAACATTTCAGGGACAAAAGGTAAAAGATTTCTGACAGACCCAGGTTGTTTATGTGCTGGCACATTCCTTGGAGGGAGAAGTGTCTGAGCACACTGAAGACCTGTTTTTGCAGCCTGGATACACAGTGCAGAGACAAGCATGTCCCATATATATCCTGTATGCATATTATAAATAAATACCTTAAACTTTGTAAAAATTTTGAGCCATAATCAGGAGGGCCAACCATCAGCAATTTCAGTAGAAAGTGCACAGGCCATAGGGTCAACACACCTAATCTTATCTTTGAGTTTAACTCAATGTTACAGCATAAGCAGTCTCTTACAACCTGATACTACAAACAGTAGATTCTGGAGAGCTTCTGAACAGCTCCAGATGATGATTATTATGTGCACAATGCAGTAGCTTAGAGGCTCCATCTCAGTCTAGGTCCCTCTATGTGTGTTTGGCTAAAAAAACAAAACAATCTTGAAAGTTTATAAATATAAAAAACAAACAAGAACACAAACAGTGTTAAAGCCTTCTAACAAAGCTAGGAACAGAAGAGAAATCAAGTGTCCTACCTTCTTGATTTATCTACTTGACCTTGCTGCTGTGAAATGTAAAAATGTTGACAGGATCCTATTTTCAAAGTATGCTGAAGAGTGTCAGATAAAGCAATATGACACATACTGAGAAAGTGCATAGTATTCATTTTATTTGATCTCTCAGTTTAATCCAACACTGAATGAACTCAGAGCATGATTCTGTACTTGCTCACTGCATAAACACACAGACAAATAAATGTGTATTCATGAGAAAACTAGAAGGCAGAAAAGATCTCTGTTTTCCACCATGTCTACATGGCTAAACAAGGTATAGAATGATAGAAAATCAGATCAGGCTTTCCCTCTCCCTGAGGAAAACTTACTTGTTCTCCTGTCCAGCTCTTTCCTTCATCAAAGTATTTAGGCGTGAAATTTCCTTTTTCAGTGAATTAATTGTTTCCTTAGTTTTCTGTTCCCTTTCATGGGCTTTATCCACCATTTTCCAGGCCTTTTCAAGCTCCTAGGAATGAAATGGAAAATGATTACATAAATTGTGTTTTAAAATAACCACAAATCAGAAATTAATTGCCTTGCATTTTTCTTAGTTGAGAAAATAGATTTTTGTGCCTTTTCATGATTAGGTTCACAACAGTCCCCTTACTTGATATCTTTTGTTTTGGTTGACAGCATAGTAAACATTTAGAGCCATTCAGACTAGGTCAGTTTATACCAGAAAAGCTCTAATACATTTTCTTTAACACACAGATCTAAACATTCTCAAATTTCACTCTGTGAGGCTTTAATTGTGTGTTTACTACAAATATCAGTAAAAGCTTACTGACAATTTAGTGCCCACAAAGGTATCACCTACTTAAATAGTTCATGTCTGTAAAATTCCTATTAGCTGTTAGGACAATGAACATCCAACTTGATTTGGATGAGAAAAAGATATTACTCAACTTTTCTGCCTTTTTATTCATTTTCATCTGAAAGGACTTAGTGTAATTTGATTTTAACTACTTATTTAGACAAGGCACAATTCCTATGCCAAATTTTAGCACATGGAGTTACTTAAATGACATATTTGTGCACCTCTCACAAGTCTAGGGTTTAATACCCACAAACAGGATACGGGAGGAGGATTCACTTCATTTTTTAAACTTCTTCTGCATCTCTCTCCTTTGAATCAGATTCTTATGAATCAAAAAAAAAAAAAAAAGAAAAAAAAAAGTTTATTCCTTGCCAGGTTCGAATGAAGCTTCTACAATTTCTGGAATACTGTGCTTTAAAAAAATTCAATTTAAAATAAATTCAGCAAGTGACTGGACTGGAAGGAAAGTTCCTGAAGTCTCAGTAAATAATGAAGATACTACTTTTACATTAGAAGTCTCTGAGCTTCAAATCACAGCATGATGCCCTTTTCTCAGCTGGTTCCTAGCACAGTTCTGGATTTCACAGACTTGTACAGATTTAGACCCCAAGTGTGGCTATGCAGTTCTACACTAGCTCTAGGGTCTCCCCAAGGAAAGACAAATAGAAGCATCATTATATTAGGCCATAATATCCCTTTCAACACTTACTTCCATCATCTGAAATTGGGTCAGGAAAAAAATACTTTAGAAACCATCTCCACAATGAAGAAAAGAAAATAATTTAATTTACATCAAATTGTTTACAGAAATTTTTTATTGTAATTGACATTGCTGTTTCTAAAAACAATCAACCCTACTTAAATTATGACACCTATGTTATAGTATATTGTTAATATATTTATGGAACCCTAAAAAATCAAATATATGTAATATTTAGCTGTTTACTGCCTAAATTAAAAATTCAAACAATAGAACTAACAGAAGTAACAGGCTACCAGATTTTGCTGAAAGAACATGAAGTATAACATCTGTAGCCTCCACCAACTGCAGAGGGAATACATTTCCATTTTATTTATTCAACTAGCTCAGCATATCCGAATTTGAGAAACCATCTGTAACATAAAGATCAGGAATTTTTGCTTTTCATTTTTTTCCACACATACTAATAGAGTGTTAAACAATGGGCTTTCCTTGCTCAGAAATGCTTAAAATTACAGTCAAACTCACTACCTATGAACAGTATTTTAATTACTAAATAAATTACTAAGTTCAAAATTTAGCTGGAAAACTGTGCTTTTTCACTTATGTATCATGCATTTTAAAACAGTTTTATGTATAAAATCATTTTTTATGTCATACATTTTGAGTTCTAATTTCTGTTTAATGCAGCAATGATCACAGATAAAGCATTAAGTATTATCTAGTAAATTATAAGTTTTTCATTCATTAATATCTTACACAAAATGCTCAATTCTGAAATTTAAATAAATGCATATTGGGCTGAAATAATGGCACGAAGACACAGTGTGTCATGTTGACTAGCAGAAAAGCATAAAACATAAATGTAAATAAAAGTGTTTCAGATTTGTCAATCAGTAAGAGACAACCACCATTTCTCTAGAAAAATGCAAATTGAAAATAAGATTAAAGCCGATTACTTAAATCAGAGCTTCATGCTGGCTGATTAGACTGTGATTAAAATTGGTGAATTAAATCATTGTGATTGGAGTTTTGGTGAATAGAATCAATACAGCCTCTGAAAAGTTTTAGTGGCTCCAGAAAGTATTTTGTTCTTATTAGTATTTGCAAAAGTGATCTCTTGAAGTCAATGAGGCCATTCAGATAAGCACTGATATCAGGTCACCCTAACCTGTGCTTTTTGAACTTTATCTTTGGAATGTAAAGACTTGTATTGAATTTGTATTGATAATACCAATTTTTATCAATAAAGTAAGAAGACAAGGGTGATGGCCACACTAATAAGCAAAATCTAAATAAGAATTTTCTACAGACTTCAACATCAGCAAAACTGAGCTTCCTTGCACTTGCATCTTGGTTGTCTTCTAGTGTAAGAGCAGATTGATAGATCCATTATTTTCAGAGGTAAAAAAGAGCAAAATTTTGACAATGGAAGTTTTCACAGAAGAAATCTTCCTACTGTTATTCAGTGTGAAAGAATGCAGTGTGTCAGCAACATAGGGTAATTGCAGTACAAGATAGGTAGGTAATGCATGGCAGTCTTGCATAATTAAAGGAAGTACATTGGATATTTGCCATTGGCATCATTCAAGTTCTTTGGAGAAGTACTGAACTCTGGAACTTGTGAAGCAAAACTTAGGAAGTGTGACTGCTTTACTTTACTTTCATTAAATACCCCAAAAGATCACATCAGATTCATTGCTCAGAAACTGAGAATTAATGAAACGCTTTCTTATTATATTGGATTGATACGCCTGGAAATTGAAAATTTGGTAATTTCAAGCAGGGCAGTAAAAGCTCCTATAAATTCCTCTCCTAGCATTCTTCCAGTGCAGACTCGTGGATCAGTGTCCCTAGCCATGAGAAATAGAATTGTATTCTCTTCATTATTAGCTTGGCCCTTTGCTCCTTTGATATGACTGTAAACTGCAGACTGTTATGTCCAGTTTATTAAAACTACAAAACAGATCCTTTAACTGCCACCTGACAGTTAACAGCTACTGATTATCACTGACCCACATCCCACCAGCCACTGATCTATGCGCTTAACCCCTGCCCCAAACAAACCCTACTGATTACAAACAGGCTTCACATGGAAAAAAATTTTTCTTCTGCAACCTTTATTTCTTACCCTAATGACCCATCAAGTCACCAAGATTTAGGGCCTTAATTTGGAACAACTATACCATTTTTACAGGAACAGCCCCATCAGGATTCTTTTATGGTTTATAAATAATTAAAATGTGGTACAGATTGTTTAATTTAGCACTGAAGAATATCATCTTGGCTACTTTAGCACCTGAACTTCCTTCAACACTTACCTTGGATACACTGGAAACATGTTTTTTGAATGTTAACAAAATCGTAGTGAGATACTACAGCTCTCATAGAATTTTCTTTCAGAAAGAAGAATATCATGGAATATAAAGGGTTTACCAAGCAAAGCCTCTCATGAGACATGAACATTTTAAACAATATCCAAATAACTCCTGAACCTTTAAGAGAAGGACTAATATTCATAACCAAACTGAAAAACGTCAGCTGGTGTGCTTGGCTCACAGCACGCCACTAGAAATGAAACACCCCATGTTGTGCATTGCACATCACTTCTAGCAGGATCATATTGTCAAGCAGCTTTTCCCCTAGAAAATCACTTAATGGGTTCAATCGTAGGCGGTATGGTTCAGTCATACCCTGCTTGAGCTTCAAATTAGCTGGTGAAATTGGAAAGGCTCTTATTTTCCCATCATTTCCACTCCTCAGTTTTATGACGTTACCAAGACAGAGTCTCCTCAGTTTGGGAACATCTTGAAGGATCACCTCTCCTACTGTTCACACGCATGGTATTGCCATGTAATAGCAAAAAGGAAATTATAAGGATCATAGTGGTCCCTGACGTTCATCTACCAGGTTTTGATTAGCAGCAGTGAAAATCAACAAGATTTTCCATGCTTTTCCTCCTCCTTGAAGAGGCTTTGGGCAGTACCACGGATTTGCAAGCTGCAGCCATATGATGACAGTGCTGCTGCTTATATTTATTCTGAATGTATTTTCTTCATAATTCTAAGGACAAGAAACTTCACTTCAAAGAACTTCTATTTCTGTAGTGCTCAAAAGTCACTCTGGATTGCTACACGGACTTTATTTTACTGGAACAAAACACTTTAATGTAAGGCATGGAGGTTTCCCAAATAAGTGCTAAGTTAAAGCCTATCTAGGTATCACAAAGCTAAGCTTTTAAATCATCAGAATAAAGTTCCACTACAGTCTTATGATCACTTGGCAGCTTTAGGTTTCTGACAGTGAAAATTCACTGTAAGCCTAAAAACATCAACTGTTTCTAGTGAGCCAAGCACTTTGATTCGACAAAGTTTAAATCCATAATAACAAACAACACATCAAGAGTAAACTGGTGAAATCACACTGAAATGCTATATAGGATTCCTCTTCAAAAGCACTGTGAAACATTTATTTATATAAGTTGTTACTTCCCTGGCCTAAAATCTGTATTTCAACAAAAAGTAGACCTTTTTTATGTTCTGGCAATAGTTAACATCCAAGCAGCCCTGCAAAAGTATTAATGAATCAAAAACTGTACATTAAGCTGGAAATGTGCCATTTTACAGAGGGAAAGCTTAAACAAAAGCTATAGTGAGTACTTGAAAGCTGACAGAGTTGGTTTAGTGCAAATAAACACAGAATTTGACCGAAACCTGTAAATATACCAGGCTAAGCAAACAAAGCAAAGCAGAGACAAAACAACTGGAGATGCCAGCTCTATGCACAGTCCTCCAGCTAGATGTTTACATAAAATCAAGTGTTCTTGCAGGTGCTTTTCTTATTACTATGTTTTTCATTAATAATTTCAGATCATAATTCATTCTATTCAACACTTTACCGACTTCAATGATGATATAGTTTCCCCATCATCATGAGTAAGTTTGGTGAGCACAGCTACTTTAGATGATTTCTCCACAAGCTCAGCACTCAGCTTCCTGCATTTCTCCATGAGATGTCTTTCATTTTCACGAGACTTCTTCATAATAGCAAAGAGCTTCTCATATTCAACACGGAATTTTTCCAGAGCTTCATCTCTGTTCAGCATACTGATGAATTCTTGAGAGTCTTTTTCCAGTGCTTCAAAGGCACTTTCTTCGAGATATGGTTTGTCAGACTTTTCCTGAGTGAAACAGTCAAGAAACAGGAAGAATTCAGCATCTCACTTATGACCCCAGAACACAAAAAAGTAATATACTGAGTATATTTCTTAGCATAACTAAGAAATCACGACAAAAATTTTCTGTAATAACAGTTCTTTTTCTTGCATGTTGTAGGCTATTTTTCAAGCACATCTCCCCCAGTTTTACTGAAATAACTTGTGCTTTACCAGCCAAAGGTCTTGTAATTGAGTCCCATAACAGCTTAAAGTCTATAAAATACCATCATTGTGATAGTGTTAGAATAATGCATCAACTACTGAGGAAACACAATATTTTAGCCCTAATTCTGCCCAGCTCTCTACCCTCTAAAGTCGGATTAGTTTATGATTTCTATCCAGATAGTGCAAGAGACCTGCAGCACGTCTCAAAGCTCCCATAATGCCAAAACAATCCAGTCCTTCCTCTGTGGGAAATGCTACTGTTAAACTTTGCACAGAAGACATTTTTCATATAACTCAGTTCTGATGCCAAATCCTTGCAAATACATCTCTGAGGTGGTCTCACTAGGATAGGGAAACAGATCTCCTATCAGCAGGAAAACCTCAAGGGCTGCAGCCCACACTCCAGCATCAAAGAACAACCAGCTGTGAGCTGAAATTTAGCACATCCCTCCTTCAAACCTGCTCTGGGACTCATAGCTTTCTTCTCATTTCATCCTCCTTTCCAAACCACAGAATCACAAAATGGGCTGGAAGGGGCCTAAAGATCATCTCATTCCAACTCCCTGCCATGGACCTTCCACTAGACCATATTGCTCAGAGCTCCATCCAACCTGGCCTTGAAGACTTCCAGGGATGGGACAGCTGCAACTTCTCTGGACAACCTGTGCCAGTCCCTCACCACCCTCACAATAAAGAATTTTCTCCTCATATCTAATCTAACCCTACTCTCAGCTTGTATCTGCTTCCCTCTGTCCTGTCCCCACTACATGCTCTTGTGAAATTCACTCTCCAGCTCTCTAGTAGGCACCCTTCAGGTACTTCAGTCTTGATCGTGTTTGCGATTGTCAATGGAGTTAAAAGACGAGCAGTAATGAGGGGAGAGGCAGGGTGGGAATCACACCCACGATCTTATAAGTAGCAGCTGCTCCGAAAATTTAAGAGTTATTTCTGCCTGGGAACAAGTAGCCTGATTGCTCCTACTTTCAACACAGAACATAACTGAGCTCTGCTCACACAGGAGACACATAAACATGGTATATGGCTATAGATGATACACAGGTGATGATGTCGGCCTTATCCTGAGGTGCAGCCTTCGTCCTGCCCAGGGTCAGGAAGGGAAGGGAGGGGCAGGTTACAGGTTACCTCAGCCATGCTGCCGTCGGGTGGAGGTGGCGGGCTCGGTGCAGAGGGTCAGGGTCGGTCCCGGTGCCGGTGCCGGGGCGGAGGCGGCCCGGGCCCGCGGCGGTGCCGAGGCCGCAGCTCGCAGCCAGCGCCGCGCCGGTATCGCAGCAACAGCGGCGGCTGCGGGCGGGGCCGCGCTCGGCCCGAGGCCGCTCTCGGCCCGGGGCCCAGCGGCGGCCACGCACATGCACGGTCATCCCGCTGCCGAAGGGTGACTTATCCTCCAAAAGGACTGTGTGTCCGTCTTGCTGCTGAAGTTCGGCAGTCAGGGATTTTAACCAAGGACACCGAGGCACGTTTCCCCTCTGACCCAAAGGTCTCGGAGCAGAGTAGCTCAGCGCGGCCGGCAGGGTGGGCCGGCTCAATCACAGAATAGTTAGGGTTGGATGGGCCTCTGGAGATCATCCAGCCCAAACGCCCTGTCAAGGCAGGGTCACCTGGAGCACAGGTGACACAGGAATGTCTCCCGGTGGGTTTTGAATGTTTCCACAGAGGGAGACATCAGGACCTCTCTGGGCAGCCTGTTCCAGTGCTTTGCCACACTCTATGGAAAGAATTTCATCCTCATGTTGAAGTGGAACATCTTGTGGTTTAGTTTATAGCCATTGCTCCTCATCCTGTCACTGGGCACCACTGGAAAGGGCCGGGCACCATCCTCTTGGCACCTGCCTTTGAGATACTTATATGCATTGATGAGATTCCTCTCAGTCTTCTCTGTTCTCTCAGACTGAACAGGCCCAGCTCCTGCAGTCTCACATCATACATGAGATGCTCCAGACCCATCATCATCTTCATGGTCTCCATTGGACCCTTTCCAGTAGCTCCTTGTCTTTCTTGTACTGAGTCCACTCAAGGCAGGATCCTGTGGAAGGAACTAAACAGGTATTTGTGCAGTTTGGGGGCACAAATCATAGAACCACAGAATACATTGCATAGGAAGGGACCTTAAAGATCATCTCATTCCAACCCCATTGCCATGGGCACGGTCACCTTCCACTATCCCAGGTTGCTCAGAGCTCCATGCAGCCTGGGCCAAAACAATTCCAGGGATAGGGCATCCACAGCTTCTCTGGGCAACCTGTGCCACTGCCTCATCACCCTCACAGTAATGAATTTTTTCCTAACATCTGACCTAAACCTACCCTGCTTCAGTTTAAGACCATTTCCCCTTGTCCTGTCACTACATGCCAAATGGCATTCAGAGCCTGATTTTTGCCATATCATCATACTCAACTATTCACAGTAGTCTGTCTGTGCATGTGGATGGTTTGGTACAATCCATGGTGCAGGAAAAGGGGAGGCAGGACATCGGCTCCGCTTCAGAGCTGTGCTGAAGCACAGCTGCTGCTGTTCACTCCTAGCAAACCCCTGAAATGGTGGGGTTTATCTCTCTAAGCACACAAATTGTTCCATCTGATAGCTTTTTAGGGCAGGGAATGTACTGTACCATGTATACTCTCCCTAGCAGCATGGATGCTGGTTAGGACTTTAAAGTACCGCTTGAAACAAATAATGATGATGGAAAACTTTTTCTCTTGCTGGTTTAATGAAGCCTGAATTGTAGCACTTCATTTTACTGATTATGTGGCAAAATAGACAGTTTCAAATGGATGCTTTCAAATGGTCTGATTTTACCATTAGAACTGGAGAATAATACACATTTTATAATGTATTTTTTTTGTGTGACTTAATTTACAAAATATCCTATACACTGAAACATTCAGTCATTTCAATGCACACTTCTAATAAAAAAAATCAATAAAGTTCCTTTTCTAAGTTTTGTACTCCCATTTTTCCTCATTTTCTTTTGCACTGATGTTTCTTACATAATAAAATTACAAGGAAGGTGATTATGATAAATGCCTTGATTCTAGGATTTCAGTTCTCAAGAGGACAAAACTCCTAGACCTTTAACATAAAACAACTGCACATGTAATGAAATATCAAATTGTATGATTTTAATTATGTGAGCAAAATACTGCTGGAGGAAGGGAACATGCTCAGAATTTTAAAAAATAATATTATATGATGAACAAAAAGAGCCCTCCAATTTACATCTTTAATATATATCTTTGATATTATTTATAGTATTTCTTATGTCTTTAAAAACAGAACAGGAGTAGAAAGGAGATAATCATCTTTGGGCTTCAGGTTCATGGTTGTGCTTGAAGGAAACAGCATAAATGTGTCTAAAAATTATACCCATTTATTAAGACATTCCCATGAGCTTCCTGGTCTAGTTGAAAATGTCTGTTCACTGCATGGGCTTAGACCAGAAAACCTGTAAAGGCCCCTCCCAACCCAAACTATTCTATGATTCTACTCTTACGTTTTTTTACTTATGTTTTTCAAGCCCCTCATGATCTGTCATGTCCTCTGAGACCGTGTGTGACTGTATAGACTGGTCTTCATGACAACTTCCATTTGCACTGAACTCATCTCCAAATTCTCCAAGTTCACCCCCGTGGTAGCTGCATCTCTAAATGCAGTGCAGATATAGTGGGGTGAGTGTTAGGAGTCCATGATAACTCATGCAAAAGCCTATCTTTTTAAAAAGCCTTAAAACATCACAACTCATAGCACATAAGTGCATCCAGGGCACAAATCTGTGTGACTGTGAAGATTCAAATATTCACATTTAATTAATTCTGCAACAAATTATATTACCAACAAGAGAATGCCTCAATGGCTTCATAAACAAGGAGCTGCACTGACACTCAAGAGAATACCTGTGTTTCTGACCTTAGAAAGAATTTACTTTAGCTCAGGACCAGCCACTTAAAATTCCCTGTGCTTAAGATCCATCAGTGAAGTGTAAATAACCAAATCTGCCCTCCTGCAATGGTGCTGTGACTGTCATGGCTATAAATGATGCACTCATGTCACAGAGAGAACCTCTGGAGCTCTTCGAGTGAGATCACTTTCTAACTCTCCCTTTTAAGATGAGCATATGTTCCCAGCTCTGCAAAAACCTTTCTGCTAATTAGAGAAAAAACTCCAATGACCACAGAAGAAAAAAAAATACCTTAAATAAAAACAAATAAATCTCTATTAACAGCAAGGACAAGCCAGACCTAGAAAGTTTCAGATCATTGAAAAAAATGTTATTTATTTCCCTGAATGTCTTTGTTCAAGAGACACATGCACTTTATGGTAAATAAGCAGAATCACCTGTCTCACCAGCTGCATAAAAGAGAGTTTTGCATCAGTGGGGTGTGTTGGTGTGCATGCAGAAAGGGTTACCAGAGAAGAAATGTTTGCTCACTGATTTATTTGAGGTCACAACCCTCGTGCAGTTAATTTAAGGCATGTTTTAAACTGTAGTGTCAGGAAAATGATAAGCCATTACTTCCTGAATGTATGGATTTGTGAGGTCCTGCAGATACATAAATAATAAAGTAAAATCTCATCATAAAGTGACCCAGGAGTATGTAAGCCACTTGGGGAAGAACCATGACAGTACGTGCCTTCTGGAAAGTGTGAAAGGAACCTTGTGATGTGTGGCCAGCAAGGAGAGGATGAACTGAAGAAGGAAGGCGGAGGGGTTGAAGGGGATCCTCCCAGTCCCGCTGCTGTCAGGAGGCGACGGGAGGCGGCAGCACCGCACCGCGGTGTCCGCCGAACTGCCCCGCAGCGCGCCCCGACACGGCTTACACACATCCCGCAACAGCCGGGATGGGATGGAGCGGTGCGGGAACGCATGATGCTCCTGCATGAGGCTCTGCATCTCAATTCGCCTTTGCTCCGTTTACTCAGATAACATCATCAATGGAAAACTACGGCTAAGGAAAGCAAAATTTATCTAACAATTTGCTAATATTAAATTATTGTTTGACGTGCATTACAAATATGTTACATAAACATTACTTAATCTAATTGCAAGTCTTGTGATTTCTGCAGCAGCATGGAAATCCAGCAGAGCCTCATGGCCCCAAGGAGCAGAGATGCTGCAGGCATTGTCAGTGAGCTGACATCCTGGGATGTACCCTGCAAACCAGATTGCCTTCTCAGAATTACATCAGTTTTGCAGTTTTCAAAGGAACAAGAGCTTACTGAAAAAGCTTTTTTTCCAGTGACAAGGAAATGTTATATGGTTTTCAATTACTTATCTAACTGATAGTTTTACTATATTCTTTTTTAATGTCCTCTCCACCTGTTATTTTCAAACAATGGTAGTTTTATAACAAGAACGGTTATTCAGTTTAAATTGGATTGAGACTTTCTACTTTGTTCATAAAGATGATGCAACAGATCTCAACAGTAAGAGATCATGTTTGATCATGTTTGGCACTAGAGTTGAGCTAATGATCTCAAGAGAGGAAACATCACCATTTTCATAAGAAGTTAAATCATAGCAATGTTTCAATTAATAGAAACACCCAAATATAGACCTTGGTTGGTTCTGTGAAGCTAAGCTGTCAAGTGGTCTGTGAATAATGTACAATTACATGCTCTACATAAAAAATAAAATAGATGAGAGTTATGGAAAGTAACTAAAATTAATTCAATAATCCTGAAACTAAGTTGAACTTGCTGGTATGCTTTGAAACTGCAGAGAAGTTTTCCATCCCAGTTTTTCCTCCCAGCTCTTCAACTGGGATTACTATGGCATGCCATGCTTGTTAGAAAATTCCTCTCTTCTACCCTCCTCCAAGCTAAACACAGGAATTCTCCAAGACTGCTGGATGAAAGCAATGCTCTGCAGATCCCCATCGCCAGCACTGCCCACTGTGGGCTCTTACCATCACCAGTGTTATGGTCTATGCTACAAGTCTGGCTTTCAGCTTTTGAGAGTGAGATGGGGACTTTTCTTCCTATATATGTGAAGGAATGATCTGATAGAGGAAACCCCTCCCATCCTAGTTGCCCAGCATCATGAATCACTGGAAAGGCTATAAAGGAAAGCCTACAAGGTAACATAAATACACTTCTCCCTGCAGAGCTCTGAGGTTTCTTCAATCAATGTCTTC